ACATAGCTTATATGTGTATATTGTAACATGGATATAAAATATTCATCTATAAACACATATTCATATACATGTCAACTACTTCCAAATCCTGCAAGGCCTGAGTCCTGGAACCCTGATTAGAGGCAGTGAGGATCTGAAAGACAGACATGTGTTTATGCGGTACAGTACGGCACACAGGGCTGGAAGTCTCTGTGGGTGACCAGGCCCAGGCAGTAAGCGCTGGAGAAGGCAACTGCAGCTGTTTGTCTTCGCACACACTGGCCAATCCCTCTGACTCCCCAGGGAAGCTTTGCTACCCTCTTCAGCCTGGCCCATATAGGTTGTTACTAATGGGACAATATGTCATTTGTCCCATAGGTCCAAGGCCTGGGAGCCCTCAGTACGTGTCCAAGTGAGCAATACAATTCGCCCAGGTCTTCCTTTGCTCCCTACAAATTACAGTTTTTAAAAATTATATAGGGTAATTTTATGAATATATATGTATTTTTCAAGCAATTAAAATCAAATTTGCACTTGAGTTTCCTGTTATGTGATATCTAGCAAAAAAAGGGGGGGGGGGTTGATATAGGGTCTTGTGTAGCCCAGGTTGGCCATAAGCTTGTTATATAGTTAAGGATGGCCTTGAATTCCTCCCAAATTCTGGGATTACAGGCAGAACTTTTGTTTTTCGAGACAAGGTTTCTCTGTGTAGCCCTGGCTAACCTGAAACTTGCTCTGTAGACCAGGCTGGCCTTGAACTCAGAGATTTGCCGTCTTTGCATCCCTAGTGCTGGGATTAAAGGAGTGAGCTACCACCTCCTAGCACTTTTTTTTTTTTAAATTGGCTGGTTCCAATTTAAAAAAGGAATGGGTGCCTATCTAGATAACACAAAGGAAAATAAGACATATTTTAGGTTGCAAATGAAATCCTGAAAGCCCTTCATGGTAAGAAATACAGTAAGGGGCCAATGGCTCTGGCTAAGAGCACCTCTGAACCTCTTCAGAGAACCTTAACTTACTCGGTGGCTCACTTCTGTAACTCCAGCTTTAGGGTTCTGATGCCCTCTTCTGGCCTCCCAGAGTACCAGGCACACACAAAGTACACAGACATACATGCAGGCAAAACACCACATATAAAATAAAATAATTAAAAATTTAAGAAATAAAAATAGTAGGACACTATGCTCTTTGGTTAAAGCAAATAAACATTCCTATTTAAAAATGTTAAGCCAAGATAAGAACTGCATGAGGGTGAACCTAGACCCCTCCTATTAATGGACTGACATGCTTCTCTTTAGACAGACTCCAATAGCGGTAGCTCATTTCCTATGTCACTGCCCTCTGTTAACATGTCCTAAGCAAACCTACCTTTTTGTTAACTGGGAGGCTATCATTTCACAACAGAAATAGACTCAAGAAGAATCTTTACCTTGGCTTGAAGCAAGGGTGGTTAGGTTGAAAGAAACACCTGCCTAGAGTGATCTGAAGGATTAGAGATGCCACGTGGGAGCTGTATACACTGTCCCCTGTGCCTGTGAGCCTAGCCCTGGGAGGCTGCGGTAGAAGGAGCAAGTGAGCTCCAGCTGGACCACTGGGACGGCCAATTCTGGTGTCAGTTTGACTAACCTGGATGAACTAAAGTACAATCTTGAGAGATTTTCTTGATTGGATTACTTGAGAATGGAAGACTCCCACAAAATCTGGGTCACACCTTCTAGTGGTAGCCACATTAAAAGACATGGAAGAAGGAAGCTTTTGTTTTTTGCCTGATTGCTCTCACTCTCTCTGGCAAGTTCATCTATCCTGCTACTGAAGCGATTCTTCACCTGTATTAGTGCTAACTTTGAGATCCCAATATATGCTGACGATCAGCAGAAATCCTCAAGACTCCAGTGCCAGGCTGGGACTGTGAGACAGCCAGCCCTGTAGACTGAACAACTACTGAATTCTTGCTCTCAGTCCTGAGACAGCCACTGTTGACTACCTGATCACAGCCTGTAACATACTCTAAAACATGCTTTGTACACACACACACACACACACTCGTATATACATAAACATGTATATATATATATATACATATTTTAAAGATTTATTTATCTGTGTATTTTTTGTATATGTCTTTTTTCTCTGCATATGTTTTTTATCTGTGCATCAGAAGAGGGCATAGGATTTCATGGGACTACAGTTATATGCTGTAGTTATAGACAATTGTGAGCCACATGTGGTTGCTGGGAACTGAACTCAGGACCTCTGGAAGAGCCCCCAGTGCTCTTAACTGCTGAGCCATCTCTCTAGCCCTCTACAGTCTTTTTTCATTCTATCACTCTGTTCCTCTAAAGAAGGCTGACTAATGCAACTACAGAATGAGAACCTGTCTCCAAACAAAAGGGGAGGGGGCGGGCAAACAAGGTGGCTGACTTAATGGAGCACTCCTGTGATCCTAAAACCAAGGAGGTGGAGGGGGGACGATCAAAAATTATTATTTATTTTTATCTAATTTTTATTCTTTTTTTAGCTTTCCTTTTGGAAAAGAAATTCAAGAGTGAAGGATGGATATGGAGGGACTGGGAGATGAGCAGGATTGGGGTGCATGATGCCATTGCCCAAAAAAATCAATTAAAAAATTAAAAATTGAAGTTTTCATTTAGAGGAAAAGTTCAGTCACACTAGTGTGAGTTTGATAGATCTTCAGTATGCCACTTATAAACTAGCAGCAAAAATCCTAAGACAACTACTATAATAGTCTTTTAAAAAACATAAAATACTGAAGATGCCCCCCCCCCCCATCTTCCACAATCACTCCTGCCAACAAACAAACAAACAAAACAGAAAAATAGAGCCCTCGGACAAACAAAAGCATACAAAAAAGGGCAGTTTAGGTGAGAAATCCAAGGAAGTCTCAGAAACCAAGGAAACACCAGAGACAGGAAATACCAAGTCACAGAAGGAAGTGACCTGGGAGTCTAAATCTGGCGGGAATTAATAACCAGGTGTGAAGAGAGCAAATCACCAAAGAATTATAGCGCATGCTCCCCAAGTTGAACAGAAACAAGACTATGCAGGGATCTACAGAATCCATGAGACAAAGACAGGAAAAAAAGACAAATTTAAACACACAGTTACAGAATTTCAGAGAAAAAAAGCTAGAGGAAAATTATTGAAATGTTTAGAAAAAAATACAGGTCACCTAGAAATAACAGACTAGAGTAGCAATAGACATCTGGTCACCAGCAAACCTAGCCCAAAAGACACAAGTGCTCAAAGCTCAGAACAAAGGAACAGCCTAGACGCTGGATCAGTCAATGCTGGACACACTAGTGATCACCGTAGTTCCACCACTCAGGAAACTGAGGGAAGAGGAGCTCAGAGGCCAACCGCGGCAACACCCTGAGAACCCCGCCTCAAACAGTAAGAAAGAGTGAGGATACAATCAGGGAAACCTACACAGACACTAAGATAAAATCAAGAGAAAAATAAAGCTACTGCCTTTTTTTTTTTTTTTTTTTTTTTTTTTTTTGAGACAGGGTTTCTCTGTGTAGTTTTAGAGCCTGCCTGTCCTGGAACTATTTCTTGTAGATCAGGCTGGTCTTGAACTCACAGAGATCCTCCTGCCTCCCGAGTGCTGGGATTAAAGATGTGCACCACCACCACCCAGCAAAGCTACTGCTTGTTAAATAAGAGTTCAAACCTGGAAAGAAATCAAAGCAGACCCCAAGATGGCATTCAGCCCCAGGTCACAACAGCAACCACTTACAGAAACGGAAGCAAAGACAGAGATTCCGTGAGGGAGAGTGACCAAACCTGAGTGCACAGGAGCAAAGATGCAGGGGCAGAGTCAGGCAAGGTGGCTCTGTGATCCCTGCTGAGGGGGGACTGCTCAGAGTGCGTTGGATCTGTCTAAAGAAAGGGAGGAAAGGAAATGAAAGAGAGGGAAAAAGAAAGGAGGAAGGACAAACAGAAAGAAAGGTAAATAGGCAAACTGGAAAACAAAACAAAATGTCATGGGCCAAACTGAAGCCTCCAGCACAAACTGGAACAAGACAATAGGTCCGGGAAGGAGTTGATTCCAAGCGCTAACCACAACTCAAAGACTTTCAATAAACAGGGCACTGTGTTCTTTGTCTCAGAAGAAATGAAAAAGCACTCAGAAAATTAGGCCGGGGATGTGTCTGTACTTCCTTCACTTTTTAGAAACCATGTGTGTATGCTTCAGGTTTTAAATATTCTGGTAAGGTGCTCTGTTTGTTTAAAAGCCCAAAATAAGAATTCTGTAGCTGGGTGGTGGTGGCACACACCTTTAATCCCAGCACACAGGATGCAGAGACAGGCCATGAGTTTGAGGCCAGCCTGGTCTACAAGAGCTAGTTCCAGGACAGGCTCCAAAGCTACAGAGAAAGCCTGTCTTGACAAACCAAACAAAACAACAACAAAAGGTTTCTATAAAGGTCAGATTTGTATTCAATACAAGAAAGAACTTTTAACTCCTTGCAGATATTTAAACAAAACAAAGCAAATAAAAAGTAGATTCCATGTAGAAACTAAGTGATCACCTATCAGAGACAATAAAGCCCCATGCGAGGTGTAGGAGCAGGAAACACTTTAATCCCCTGCTCTTGTAAAAAATGTTCTAGGATTTACCCATTCTAAAACGCTTTACTTCTTTCCAGGAAATAGACTATATATGAGGACAGTGGCCTCTTTAGAGCTATTACCCAGGATAGAAAGTGTAATACTAATGCCAAAATTAAGGCAGAAAAAAAAGGAGATTTTTTTTTTAAAAAAAAGCACAGATCAGAATTTCTACAACAAAAGAATCATAACATTGGCCACGCATTGAGCTTAATCACCTGAGCAATAAGAAATTTACCTTATGAGAACTTTCGGGTAACTGGAACCTTAACATAAGATAATCGGCATGGACAGGACTGACTGATGCTGACCGCCATGTATTCACCTTTCTAACGCCAATATAAATGACAAATCACCACATCCACAGTCACATCGAATCTCACCCTTACCAGTTATAACCCACGGCAAAAGATGCTTCGATTACAGGAGCGATGAGTTTTGCAGCTGTCATGATGTATTTTTCTGCCATGGCTTTCCTATATATACAAACAAAAAAAGTTATATTTAGATGTGGCATGAAAGCAAGTTATATTTAATTCTTAAAATGTGAGTATAAAGATTGTCTATCAAAACTAGCATACCCAGAAGCTAACCAGAGGACAGACAGCCATGAGAGAAATGTGCTTACAAAGGTTAGGAGGACTCAGGCCATGTCTCCTGGCACTGAGAAAGCAAAAAAAAAAAAAAAAAAGGCAAGTGGATCTCTGAGTTCAAGGCTAGCCTGATCTACATAGCAAGTTCCCAGGACAGCCTGGACTATATTGAGATATTCCATTTCTAAAAACAAAAACAAGCAAAAAACACCCCAAACAAAACTAAAATGAAACCAAAACAAAAAAAGGCTTGGAGTGCTACAATCCTAGCACAAGGGAAGTGGAGGCAGGAGGACGGTGAGTTTGAGGTCAGCCAGTCACAGGCCACTCTGGATTACACAGTAAAACCCTGTCCCCCCAGACAAGCGCAAGGGCTGTAGTTTAAGTGTTTGAGCACTGCCCCAGCATGACTAAACTGGTTTAATCCACCACTACCACTCCCAGTACAGAGAAGGAGCTTGTAAGTCAGACTCACAACAACTAGCAAACACGACAGCTAATGAGTGCCTCCTGGGCACCAGTGTGCCCTTCTTCTCTTGCTTGAGGACGCCTTCTGACAAGGTGAAGAAACAACGGAACACAGACAGCTCTGCAGCTACCTTACACAACCTACCTATGGACAGGAAAGTGAGGGTAAACAGCCACTAAAGAAACGGTGTGTGGGACTGGGCAGGCGCCTTAGTGGGCAAAGGTGACCTAAGCTGGGTTCCCCAGCACCCATATAAAAGTCAGGTGGTGTGCATCTGTAGTTCTAGCACTGGGATGCAGAGAGATGAGGATCCTGGGGGCTCACTGAGCAGTCACTCCAGATCAGTGAGCAAAGGTGGAGTATGACAGAGGAGGAACTGCAACGTTTGACTTTTGGCCTCTACGCTTGCACGTCCAGGCGCGCACGCACACGCGCACACACACACACACACACACATACACACACACACACACACCACACATGCATACAACCCACTAAAAGTAACTGTGTTATTAAAACAAGAGTCATAACATATTGCTTGTGTTTGTTTTTGAGACAGGATCTCACTCTGCACTCTGTAGTCCTGGCTGACCTGGAACTCGCTATGTAGACCAGGGTGGTCTCAATCTCCAAAGATCTACCTGCCTTTACCTCGTAAATGATGGCATTAAAGATGTGGGCTGGGTCACCATGCCCAGGTGTATGTTACTTTTGAAAGTATGTAAGTGTGTGTATTTATGCACCAATTTATAGTGATCAATGACATTTATTTTTGTCTATCTTTCTTGGATTTATAAACACAGCAAGGGGCTAGAGAGGTGGCTGAGTAGTTAAAGAGCACTGGTTCCCTTCCAGAGGACTTGGTTCACTTCCCAGCACCCACATTGTGACTCCTAACTGCCTGGAACTCCAGTTCCAGGGGATCTGATGCTCTTTTCTGGCTCTATTGGCACTGGACATGTATGTGGTATACACATACGCATGCAGATAAACACTGATCCACATAAAAGAAAAATAAATAAAAATACATCTTAAAAAAGGAAACCAGTATCTAAGTCCACTTATAAGGTATCTACACTAATGAAAATCACAGAGGAAAAATGTAGAATAATAGTTCATACAACCCTAGAAGGCAGGAAGACCAAAGACTCCAACCCAACCTGGACTATATGTCTAATCTAAGTAAATAAATTTCAAGATGATATATTTTACATTGTATCTATTTTGCCACCATTAGGTGTCCTTTACCACTTGTGATATATACGTGATATACACATATATATATACATATCACATGTTCAATAACTCTTTTTTCATTTTATTATTTATTTATTTATTATGTATACAATATTCTGTCTGTGTGTATGCCTGCCGGCCAGAAGAGGACACCAAACCCCATTACAGATTGTTGTGAGCCACCATGTGGTTACTGGGAATTGAACTCAGGACCTTTGGAAGAGCAGGCAATGCTCTTAACCTCTGAGCCATCTCTCCAGCCCTTGTTCAATAACTCTTAACCCTTTCAGTTACACTTGATGGAGGCTAGGTGTGTGAAGGAATGCATTAGAATAAGAAACAAAATTTGGTGTGATGGTGTGTGCCTATAGTCACAGTGCTAGGCAGAAGGCAAGATAGTAAAAGCCTCAAAATAAGAGAGAAAAATATGTTGCAAAGAGCTCCCCAAAACTTTTGGGATTTCCTCCATGCTACAAGTTTACTTTTTGCTGACCATGAGATATGCTAATGAGGCGAATGTGCCTAAAAAGGTTCAAGGTAGAAATATGAGCACTTGGGAGGTGGGGTCAGGAGAACCAGGGTTCAAGGTCATCCTTTCTCACAGAACAAGATTGAAATCAGCATAGATTCCATGAGACCCCATCTCAAAAGGGTAAAAATGGAGCTGGGTTGACAGAAGAATCAACAGAATTTTCAGTCTTACATCCTGTGGTGATTTGAACAAGAATGGCTCTCATAGGCTCATATATTGAATGCTGAGTCACCAGGGAGTGAAACTCTGAAAGGGTTGAAAGAGTTAGAAGATGTGGTCTTGTTAGAGGAAGCAAGTCACTGGGAGAGGGCCGATGCCAGGTCCAGGCATGCTATCTCTCTCTCCTTGTGGATCAGGTTAGCTCTCAGCTATCTCCAGCACCATGTTTGCCATTCCTGCTGCCAGGCTCCCCCACACAAGGATAATGGACTAAGCCTCTGAAACTGTAAGAAGCCCTAATTAAATGCTTTCCTTTCTAAGGGTTGCCTTGGGCATAGTGTCTCTTCACAAGGATAGAACATTGACTAGGACACATCCCAATCTCCAGAGAGTGGACAGGAGCTGAAGATAGAGACCATCACCAATGGCCAGTGACACCATCAGTCATGTCTACACTGCAGAACCTTGCTTGGGGAGGATCGGGTTGGTGAATACACAGAGGTGATAAGGGAACCTATACGTCTCCCCCAAAACATGCTATGCACCTTCCTATCTGGTTGTTTCTCAGCTGGATCCTTTACAACAAACTGGCACATGCAAATAAAGGGTTTCTTCAAGTTCTGTGCTCTCCTTGCAAATTCCAGAGCCCAAGGAGGGTTGGTAAAAACCTGTCTCATAGGAAGCCAGTCAGAACGGAAGGCCTCTGCTTATTGCTGCTGACCATACTGGGGGAATGAAGAGGCTAGCGGGCCTGAGCCTTCTCCTGTGGAGTCTACATCAAAAGTGAATTGCTGGACACCTACTGGATGTCCAGAGAGCTGAACAATCTTGGTGTGGCAAAGTCCCATATTTTGGTATACAAACAGTACACACACACACACACACACACACACGGAGACACACATGACATGACAGTAGGAGGAAGACTTATTGAGAAAATGCTAAAGGGGTTAATACAATCAAAATTCATTATACACATGTGTGAAAGATAAAAATAAAAAAGAGAAAACAGATGTGGTCCATATTAGCAAAAGGAAATAATAAAATAAATACATGTTTCTTCAGGCTTGATATTTAATTGGCAGGCAAGACATACATACATAAGGCAATTAAAAAAAAATCAAGGTAACTAAATTGCAATATAGTACCAAATGTGGGGAAAGGAAATAACAGAGAAATGGTTAGGAACTGCTGCGTAAGACCAGCCCTGGTGAAGCAGGTTTGTAATCCCAGTTTAGGGCAAGAGGATCACAAGTTGAAAGCCAGCCTGAGTTAATGAGTAAACTCAAGGGTAGATCAGGCAACTTAGTGAGCCTACTTCAAAATAAAAAGCAAAGAAAATGCTAGAGACATCGCCAGAGGTGGAGCAGGGGCCATGGCATAACATTCTACTGCTAAACACACAACTTGATAAGGATAACTGGGCCAGCAGGAAGGCTGAAACTCAAGGAGAAAAAGCATCCGTAAAGTAGAGAATGGTGTGACAGCTCGGCAGGTGCAGCTGACAAGTTTTCTAAGAACCAGTGAGAAAGCAGTCGTTTTCTAAAAACTGCAGCCAAAATATTACCTTTCACGTTCCATTTGCCTAAGATGGTCATTTTTTATGGCTTCAATGAGTAAGTTAGTATGGGGATCATCCTGGGAAAAGAAAATAGAAAGAAAGTCAGAAATAAAAATCAAAAATTTCAGAGTTCTAATCAATACCCCAACAACTAGTTTTATAAAATGGCGTGTATGGCTAGGCAGTGGTGGCGCATGCCTTTAATCCCAGCACTTGGGAGGCAGAGGGATCTCTGTGAGTTTGAGGCCAGCCTGGTCTACAGAGTGAGTTCCAGGACAGTGAGGCTATTCAGAGAAACCCTGTCTCAAAACCCTCCCCCAAATATTATGATAATAAAATAAAATGGTGTATAAATTAGCTTACTGTCCTTACATAGAGCAGAACTTGGTTTTGTTCTGTTTTTATGATTGCCTATCACTCTCTCCATGGAACTAATATACATTCTGAGCAGTAGATAAAAGGGTCAAGCCAGGAAGAATAAAATCAAATACACAAAGCTAGGGTTGCTCATATAAATATGTGCTACTATAGATTGTAAACTCAAATGCAAAGGTGTACATGGTTAGCCACTGCTTAGATATTCCATGTATCTCCCCATTGAGAATGAAGACAAGGCTGGGTCTGAGGGGGTGGCATGGTACCAACCGTGGAAGGCGTGGCTTTAATTGCCAGCACCACCTAAACATACACTGATTTTTTTTAAACAGCACACACCATTTTTCTCAGTATGAAAGTAATGCATAAAAAAAATTCATGTTTATCCAGTACTATGTTCCAGTTATACTTTCAACATTTTATATACATTGGCCATTTAACCCTCACAATCCTACAAGGCCAGTTATTACAACTGTCCCATTTTATATATAAAGGAACTGAGCTGCAAGAGGAGTAAGTCCTGAGTGGCAGCCAGGCATCAGGCTTCATAGCCCACACTCTCTTTACTAGGAACAATAATACCCTTACATTCTATCAAGAAAAATCTACTACCAGGAAAGAGGGAGAGATGGAGGGAGGGAGGGAGGGAGGGAGGGAGGGAGGGAGGGACGGACGGACGGACGGACGGACACACACACACACACACACACAGAGAGAGAGAGAGAGAGAGAGAGAGAGAGAGAGAGAGAGAGAGAGCGCGAAAGCCTGTCTAGCCTGTTTACCTATATTAATAAGCTCCAGGTTTTGAGATTATCTCAAAAAATAAGGTGGAGATACTGAGGAAGACACTCAATATTAACCTCTGGTCTTCATATCATAGGCACACACATGTTTATATTCATATCCAGAGACAGAGAGAATATGAAAATCTTCTGTTGGGTATGGTGAGCTATGCCTGCAATTCCAGCACTACAGAGGTTGAGACTGGAGGATTCAGTTTCGAGGCCAGCCTAGACTACAGGATGAGTTTCAGGACAGCCAAATTTAAGAGATCCTCAAAAAATAATGAAGTTCAACTCTTTTTTTTTTAAATATTTATTTATTTATTATGTATACAATATTCTATCTGTGTGTATGTCTGCAGGCCAGAAGAGGGCACCAGACCTCATTCCAGATGGTTGTGAGCCACCATGTGGTTGCCGGGAATTGAACTCAGGACCTTTGGAAGAGCAGGCAATGCTCTTAACCACTGAGCCATCTCTCCAGCCCCTGAAGTTCAACTCTATTAAACTGAAAATATATACAACTTTGCCCTTCAAATACAGGCAATTTCATATGGTTTGACTTAACGTAATAGAATGCTAACAATCTATGCATAAAAATCTGGAAAATGTTTTCAAAGTATTAAGAAAAACAAAGAAGAGGTGGGGAGGAAGAAAAGAAGGAAGAGAAAGAATAAGAAAAAACAACATCCAATTGTCCAGAAACTACTGTTTCTATTTTGGTGTGTTTTCCCCTAGTTTCTCATGTGTATGGGCCCATAACTCTTCACTTAACATCATATAATATCCTTTTCGGTCTTTAAAAACAAGATTTTCCAGAGGATATAGTTCAGTTGGTATAATGTTTGCATGTGATCCATGAAGCCCTGAGTTCAATTCCAAGACTATGTAAGACTGGGCACAAGTGGCATATGCCTTTAATCACAGCATTTGGGAAGTCAGGAGTGTCAGAAGTTCAAAATCATCCTTAGCTACACAGCAAATTTGAGGCCAGCTTGGGATAGTGAGATCCTATGTCAAACAAAACAAAAACCAACCAACCAACCAACCAACCAATCAAACAAACAAAGAAATAACCAAACAAAAAAGGAATTTAGGTTCCATGGCAGATGGACAGGGGTATAGCTCAGTGGCAGATCACGAGCAAAGTCTTAGGTTCACTCCTCAGTACTACCGTTCTAGTTTGTTTCCTAGTGATCTGATAAAAACACTGACCAAACAACCTTATGATATGGGAGTTATTATTTAGCTTGTAGCTTTCAGTTTATCACCAGTGAAATCCAGGGCAGGACGCTCAGGCAGGCAGGAGCCTGGTGTCAAGGGACAGAAGCAAAAACTACAAAGAGTGCTCTTTCTGGCCTGCTCTTCATGGGTTGCTCAGCCTTTTTTCTCGTAACAACCCAGGGCCACCTGCCCAAGGGTAGCACTGCCTATAGATATCTGAGCCCTCCAATCCAAACCTTCATCAAGAAAATGCCCGACAGACCCAATCACAGGTCAACCTGATGGAAACAATTCCTCAGTTGAGGGTCCTTCTTCCCAGGTGTCCCTAGTTGTGTCAAGTTGACAAAAACTAACCAGGAAAAAAGCAGTTCCACAGTCACATGGTCAAGGTGTAGTCAAATCTTATTTTTAATGATTTTTCTAAAAGCTTTGACGAAAACTGTGCAGTCTGATCTTTTTTGGGGGGCTTTATTTTATTTTTTATTAATTTTTTTCATTTATTTTATGTACCAGTCACAGTTTCCCCTCCCTCCTTTCCTCCTGCTCCCTCCCCCACCTCCTATCTACCAGACCCCATCCACTCTTTCACCATTCAGAAGGGGCAGGTCTCCCAGGGGAGTCACAAAGCGTGGCGTATCAAGTTGAGGTAGGACCAAGTTCCTCCCCTACATCAAGGCTGGGTGAGGCATCCCCTCCTGAGGAATGAGTTTCCAAAAGCCAGCCCATGCACCAGGGACACGTCCTGATCCCACTGTGAGGGGCCCCACAGACAGTCTAAGCGACACAGCTGTCACCCACATATGTGGTCTGTTTTAACTATAACCTCTAACCCTAAGTCCCAGTCTTAACTCAAAATAAATAGCAAATAAAATAAGTGAGCTGCCTGTTGGGAAACTCAAGACATTCCCATTTGCTCGTTTCCATGGACAGACAGCAGAAGAGCCAAGTGACTGCCATTCTCATACTCACACTCGGGGAGATGTACTTATCATCTTCGTCAATTTCTAACGGAACAGCAATTAACTTCTGGAATGCCTTCTTCATTTTTTCTCGGTCTCCAATGGCAAAACAACTGAGAATCAGGTTGAAGCCTGCCTTCAGATTCGGGGCCATACTCATGATGTGCTCGAATGAATTGATGGCATCTGAATACTGACCAGTTTTTATGAATGTAATCCCAATGTTCTGCATTATTTTAATCCTAAACAAGGAGAAATGGGTTAGTCTGAAAAGTCTGAACTGATATGACACAAGTTGTTGCACTTCCCTTTGTCTTTCTTTTTTTTAATTTTATTTTTAAATTTAATTTAAATTGTAAATAGTATAACAGACAGATCACAACATTTAATGATTACAGCCATATTTACACGTCTGGGATAATAAGTGCATATTTAAGCATTTCTATTACCTGAAAAGGAAACTCTGCTACTAACTGTTGTTCCCCGTCCTCACAGTCAGCGCTGGGGACCACTAATCTACTTTCTGTCTCTCTGCCTTTTCTAGTTATTGCCTATAAACAGACCATATGAAGTGTCAGGTCCACCCCCGACACAATCCTGAGGTTCCTCTACACTGGAGTATCAGTGCTTCACTTCTTAAAAAAAAATCACTAAGTAGAACTCTACAGTATAGATATACATCACTTTAATTTTTGAAACAGGGTCTCACTATGTAGCCCTGGCTGCCTTGGTGGCTTGGGACTTTATGTAGACCAAGCTGGCCTCAAATTCACAGAGATCTGTTCGCCTCTGCTTCAGAGTACTGGAATTAAGAGATGTGTGCCACAACACCTGGCCTTTCCATGTTTTCTTACCTATGCCTGCTTGGTGGAAATGGGCTACTTCCACTTTTTTGATACTATGATTACTACTACTATGAACATTCACATTCAAGCCTTTGAAATAATGTAAATTTTCATTTCTTTTAAGTATATACCCAGGAATAGAATTGTTGGCCTTTTAAGACACTGCCTGTCTTGAAAAGTAGCCGTACCATTTCACATATCCAATGCATGAGATTTCTAATGTCTCAGCATCCGCATCAGTACCTGTCTCTGCCAGTCCCTTAGGGCCATTCTAGTGGAGATGGTCCCACTGCACTGACAAGTGCATCCAAACATAACCCCACTGCTGATTCATAACTAGCTGACTGGATCAGAATCACTCATTCATGGTTTTCTTTTTGTTTAGAATGCGATCTACCTCAAATCCTCGGTAGTTACTGCCCTGGCTAAATTACTATAGTACTAAATATATTACTAAATAACTATAGTACTAAATACATTACTAAATAACTATAGTACTAAATATATTACTAAATAACTATAGTACTAAATATATTACTAAATTACTATAGCACTAAATATATTACTAAATTACTATAGTACTAAATATATTACTAAATTACTATAGTACTAAATATATTACTAAATTACTATAGCACTAAATATATTACTAAATTACTATAGTACTAAATATATTACTAAATTACTATAGTACTAAATATATTACTAGATTACTATAGCACTAAATATATTACTAAATTACTATAGTACTAAATATATTACTAAATTACTATAGTACTAAATATATTACTAAATTACTATAGTACCCACTGCCTCAGTTACTATTAAGCACATAATGTATGCCCCTAAATTACACTTTCCAGAAATGCTCAAATTCTTGGTGGTTGCCAGGTTAAAGGTGATTCTGGAGCAGTAGTTCCCAAGCTGTGAGCAGTTGAGTGACCCAACTACTCACACCCCAAGCAGGATTTTCATATCAGATATACTGCATATCAGATATTTACATTATGATTCACAACGGAAGCAAAATTAAGCCAATAAATATACTATTTCTGTTCTTGAATATTGGAGGAGTAGAAGATACCCCGACTTCTCTACCTTTTCCACTCCACAGTGCTCTCAAACAGTAGGAGGTGTGCGCTGTGGTCCACTCTACTGCCATGACTGCTGTAGGGCTGTGCTGGCATGAAGCTATATGATGTTCCTAACAGCTGCATGGTTAGTTTAGTTTTATTTTTATTGATCAAGTGCTATTCCTTTAACCTTTAATTTGCCAATATGTGAGATATGCAAATGGTCACAAGTGGACAGAGCAAAAATCCACATCTGAACCATGAATCCATACCTCCCATCTACACACAGTTCGAAACCTTCAGTCCAGTGACAGCAAACCACAAGCCAGCTTGCTCCTGAGAAGACACTTGACACTTACCTCATTTCCTTATGGACACTCGGGATCTGATCTAAGGCCATTCGGTAGAACTTAATGGCTTTGGAGTAATTCCTCTGCTTTAAATAAATATTTCCCATATTCACTTTCAGTCTCCCTAATTAAAAAAAACGAGGGTAAACATTCTCATGTTTGTACTTTTCCTATGATATTTTAGATAATCTTAGTTTATATTCTCTAAAGCTTTTTTTCCAAGTTAGGATGCTTTAAATACTTTTTATTGTGTGTATATGTGTGCAGGTCAGAGGAAAACTCATGGAAGCTGGTTCCCTCCTGCCACTCCTAGGATCTGGAGATTAAACTTAGGTCATTAGCCATAGGTACAAGTATGTCTACCATTGAGTAAATGTTCTGGCCCAGTTAGAGCTTTTAGACATAAAATTCTAACATCAAAACAGTACACCCTTGTCATACATTCATACACTTAAGTATGGAGAAATGGAACTTCTTGAAAATATGGTTAGACATCAGTTTTCATTACAAAACTGAAGTGCATTATGCTAAGAAAAACACAAGGCAGTAGAGAGTTCTACGGGAAGAGCTCTGGCTGTGCAAGCCTGAGGAGCTGATTCCATCTGGGAAGACAGAGTGGAAGAAAAGAACAGATTCCTGCAAGCTGTCCTCTGGCTCCACACATACACCGTAACATTCATGTATTTATATTTATATACATACACACACACACTATACACACTTAAAAAGGGATACAAGACATTTGTAAATTACTCTATAATGGCACATAATTTTAATGTTATTAAAGGAAATAATATTCTAATAAACCTTAATATTGTCACAAAAACTACACAATATAAATATACAATTGTCTCATGGGAACACAGTCACTTAATGAGAGAAATGCTCCATTTGGTTGGCATGGCTCCTCCTTCTTATGAGGATGCAGTATTCGTGGTTGTGTTTTGAGGCAGGGTCTCACTATGTAGCCCTGGATGTCCTGGAGCTCCTTATGCAGATCAGGTAGCCTTGAACTCAAGAGATCCACCTGCCTCTGCCTCACCAGTGCTGGGATTAAAAGCAAGCATCACCTTGCCCAGTTTGGAATATATCTTGTGTTTAGTACTAGGCAGTTTATTTTATGTCAACTGCATTTATTCCTATACATGTATGTTTTTCACACATAGTATCTTTAAGCAGGACACCACATCATAAATAACAATTTACTTAAAGCATGAATCCTTTTATTATAAGAAAATAAAGTGAGGAAATGAAATTAACACTACAAAAGAACTAAGTATCTGTAAAATGTTGGTTATATACACCTACCTGCATTGCTAAACATCTTATTTTTCACTATCACTTGGTATGTGTTCAGTGCTTCTGCATACATTTCATTGGCTGAATACTGACTGGCCAGGTTGAAGAGAACCTAGGAAAGAAACACTATAAAAAGCCACATGATGACCATCCTTGGCCCCATTCACTTGCAGTCTTTCTAGAGGTTAAAACACTTGAACAAAGCTGTCTCAAGATATCATCAAGCACAAACCTGCCTTGTGTTACAAGTAAAGAGAACGCAGATGATGGGGCGCTGACCTCTAAACTTCACTTAATTTTCTTTGTATTTTTATTTTAATTTGAGCAGTGCTTAACCATCAGTGATTTTAGGAAGACCCACAAAGAATAAATGTGCTTTGCTAATACTACTGGTAGAAAAAGAAATAATCAAGAAAAGGATTATTTAGTTCTCCTTACAAGTAGAAATGAAAAATTATATAGAAATAGCTTAAACTCTAAAGCATATCAGAGAAGGATTTGTATAACAAAACTTTTTTCTGAGACAGGGTCTCACTATGTAGCCCAGGCTGGCCGAAACTATCTATGTAGACTAAGCTGTCTCCAGCTCACAGAGATCTGCCTGCTTCAGCTTCCTGAATGTTGGGATTAAAGGCGTGGGCCTATATCTAATATTTTTAACATTTCAGATGTTTCTTTTTTATTTATTTGACATATAAGACTCAGTCCACTAAAAATCCACTCTTTTAAACAGCAGTGTAAATAAATATCAAGGCAGAATATTTTCAGTGTTAAAGACATTTTGTTAGAAACTAAAGAAGGGCATTGATTTTCCTACTAGATTCACATATTTACTGGCTCAAAAATCAACATCAGCACCTCATTAAGATAACCCTGGTGTAGCACAAATATTAAGAATGTCTGAAAAATTGAGGAATAAGGACATGGGCTTACAATTGAAGCCTGGGAACTCAGCTCATGGTGAGGCACTTACGCAGCACACATGAGACCCTAGGTTCAATTTCCATCACCAATAAAAACAACTGAATAACTAATTAACAAAAGAAATCTCCCCCCCCCCCCCGCCCCAAGATATAGGGTTTCTCTGTGCAATAGCTCTGCCTGTCCTGGAACTCGCTCTATAGATCAGGCTGGGCTCGAACTCATAGAAATCCACCTGCCTCTGCCTTCTGAGTGCTGGGATTAAAGGTGTGAGCCACCACTGCCCAGCTAAACAAAAGAACTCTTATGCAAACCAAAGACAAGAGTGTCTCACGGACCAAATATATTAGCCTATTGCTGGATACAGAAGAAAGAATCAAATTAAACAAGGCAAAACCAAAAAGAGCAGGAAAAGCAAAGGAAAGAAAGAGGACTAGCCAATGGATACCAAGTTAGTTATAGTATGAAGTTATAGCATAGCTGGGCATGATGGCACATGCCTATAATCCCAGCACATGGGAGCCTGAGGCAGGAGGATTAGAAATTTAAGGTCAGCCTGGGCTATGTAGTAAGAACGTGTCTCAACAAAAGACACATTTTTAGTGTGATGTATTATTTTACACTAAGAGAACCTCATATTTTTCAAAGCTAGAAAAAAGGAATTGGAATGTTCTTAATAAATGATCAATGTTTGAAGAGATAGATATACTTAATTTGATTTAAGTATCATTTGTCAAAATATCACACGGAACCTGTGGTGGTCTACACATGAATGGCCCTTATGTATTTGAATGCATGGTCCATAACTGGTGGAACTGTTTAGGAAGGATTTAGGAGGTGTGGCACTGGGGGTGGGTTTTGGGGTCTAAAAAGCTTACATTGTTTTTTTCTCTCTCTGCCTTATGGTGTGCTGACCCAAATGTTACCTTTCAGCTACTTCTCCAGCTCCATGCCTACCTGCCTGTTGCTATGCTCCTTGCCATGGTGGTCATGAACCCACCTTCTAAAACTGAGAGCCCAAATTAAATGCTTTCTTTTATAAGTTGCCTTGGTCATGGTCTATTGCTACAGCAATAGAAAGGTACTAAGATAGCACCCCATAAGTCTGAACAAATTTTATGATTTGGTGAAAAATCTTTTTTCTACATGCAACAAGAGGACTAGGGATGGATGTGACAGAATACTGAACAGGCATATACAATGCCCTGGGTTTGATCCTTATCACTGGAGAAAAAAACAAAAAACAAAACAGACAAAAATGGAGACTTGGAATGGAGAGACCCTGGTAAACATATAGTACTCACTAGGCACACCGATACTTACGGAGTACGTTAAATCCAAGTTGATATTTTCTGGAGTCGTAACTTGCTCTCGTTGCCTCACCAGGACTCTCTCTTTTCTTCCTGCATCTTTTGCCTTTTCTAAGGCCTGAGATCAGATTTATACTTGGTTAAGACAGGCTGATGCTTTCATCAATATTCATGCATTTATACGATGCGTGACTGAATTCATATTCCACCTCAGATTTCCGAATGCCCCTCTGTAGCCTCATACAAAATTCCCCGGAATATTGTTAAAATGGTGCTCTGAAATATAGAACTGCTTTGCTGGAAAAGGGTGTATTTATTGCAAGTTAACACTGTGCCACTCTTTCCTGCTACCTTTTGGACTTGATTACGCCTATGTAATTCTTTTTCCCTCCCAATTCCTAAGTGTTTTGAGTATTTTAATTCAATCTTAAAAAGTAGGCACTTGGATGGATTTTGTTTGGCGTTGGGGATATTCAAAGTTCAGTAAACTATGAGATAATTATGGCCTAATATTACAAGAAATGAACCAAACACTAGTCCTATGCAAGAGCAGCAAGTGCTCTTAACCCCTGAGCCATCTGTCCAGCCCAACACTGACACTGGTCTTTTTAAAGTAGAAACATTCTGTGTAGTACTTCTGAAACTCAGCTACCATGCATGACTCCTGACACACACTGTGGGCTGTAGAGGACTACTGCTACCCTACTGTGTAGTTAAACTACTTGCTGAAGAACCTGCTTTAAGAGAACAATGTAACAACCAACCTTTCTTGCTTTGGGCTTCCCATGTAATCAACTTTTACAACCTAAGCTAATGCATATTTGCAATCTTAAGCTATGTTCTCTTCCACACCCCTGACCCAGACAATGCATGTGTACCAGAAATTGAAAGCGACTTCCCGAAGTCTACAAGGTTGAAAGCAACCGTTGCGGATATTGGTCTACAGACAATAATTTGTATAGTACTATTGTTGTCTGGGTCAGTTGGGATCAGCTGCAGCCAGAGACTTCTCCCATGTAAAACTCTGCTAAAACTTCTGTAAAGAATCCCATTCATTCCCCATGTGATGCTTTCTGTACTGTCTAGTACACGCAGGTGAAGCCCTTCATGAGGGATAGACACACAGAGACAGACACACAGAGACAGACAAGAATACAAATGCAGTCACAGATTCAGACTCATACAACAGACAGAGAAGATGGACAGAAGACACAGGGAATGTGAAGCAGAGAATTCCAATCTGAACGCGATCTTGGTTAAACGACTCTAAAGGGGAAGGAAGGGCTTTTATTTCTTAATGCATTATTGGTAACTTGGGAATTAATCACTAATGCATTTAATCTGCACATTAAAAAGCAGATGAAATCCTGAAAGGTATTACTTAGAAAAAAAGGCCGGTGAGGTTTCGATGAGAAGACAGAACTCAGGAAACTGGGCGTGGTAGCACGCAGAAGATGAAAACGTACAGGCAGGAGGATCATGAGTTCTAGGCGACTCTTGGCTCCAGTGAGATCCCGTCTCAGTGAAAAGGGGAAATAGTCCTCTACAGCCCACAGTGTGTGTCAGGGGAAATAGTCCTCTACAGCCCACAGTGTGCGTCAGGGGAAATAGTCCTCTACAGCCCACAGTGTGTGTCAGGAGTCATGGTAGCTGAGTTTCAGAAGTACTACACAGAATGTTTCTGCTTTAAAAAGACCAGTGTCAGTGTTGGGCTGGACGGATGGCTCAGGGGTTAAGAGCACTTGCTGCTTTTGCATAGGACTAGGGTTTCGTTCCCAGCACCCACATGGCAGTTCCAACAATCTGTAACTCATGTTCCAGGGGATCTAACACATTTTTCTGGCCTCTACAGGCACTTCACACATGTGATTTACATATACACATATGGGCAAAACATTCCTAAACATAAAATATTAATAAATCTTTGAAAAAACAATGTCAAAAACTGTAAAATCACCCAATTGTAGTATCTGAATTTGTAAAGCAAAATTCTCAAAATAATTGCCTTAGTCAAAGCCTAAGACCAGTCAATAGCAAAAAGAAAATGTGCACACATATGTGTGTATTTAAAAGTAGATACAGACATCAACACATATGTCATAAGCCATGCTTATGAACTCACCAGCTTTAAGTCCCCACAACTGTTGGCGATACAGCTCTCCTCTACCAGCTCGTTCACTTTCTTCTCCAGCTGTCTGATCTTTTCTTCTGGGCTGTTGAGAAACAGTGGGTGTCGTTTAAACCACTCAACCACTAAAATCTACACCACGAGTTACTTTTGGACATTGCCTAGTAATGCCATTAAGCTTTAAAGCTAGATTTCAAATTAAGATAAACATGGAACTGCAAAACAAACAAAAAAACCCTACTGTTGTGCTTAATAATTACATTAGTGAATTATTCATAATAAACATGAAAGTAAAATGAACATTTATTTAGCACCAGGTGTAATAATCACACACTGAACTAAACGTGCCACCCTAACAACATCAATTACTTCTCATAAAACACATGATGTGAGAACTGCAATTATATTTCAGTGAAAGATAGAGAAAATTTTGCTCAAGAGCACAAAGTTAGCAAGTAATAGAGGCAGGATCTGGACCAGGCAGGCACACTACATCGCTGCTCCAGAAAGAAGTGGCTATGAAAAAATGAAAACTTCCCCTGTGGCTAGGAAAACGAAAGCTCATAAAAGAGATTTAAGATTATTTATAAACTTAAGAATGGTATAAAGAAAATGTCTAATGAGATTAAATAGTTTAAAAACCTGGCTCCTGGGCCCTGTGGTAGCATATTCCTTTGGGCAGCAGAGGAAGGCAGATCTATGACTTAGAGGCCCCTGTGGTGCACATAAAGTATTCCATGCCAGACAAGGCTACATAGTTGAGATCCTGTCTCAAAAACACTAGGCAAACAAGCAAACAAAATCCCAAACAGCCATTGAGGTTCCTTATGGGTGTGGTCACTGATAGGTCGACCGTGTTCCAATAAATGGCTGATATCTATGCAGCAGTGGATTATAAAAAATATTTAAAAGATATTAAGTTGTTGAAAGGTGGTTTAGAAGTGTGGAAGAGAGCCGGGCGGTGGTGGCGCACGCCTTTAATCCCAGCACTCGGGAGGCAGAGACAGGCGGATCTCTGGGAGTTCGAGGCCAGCCTGGTCTACAAGAGCTAGTTCCAGGACAGGAACCAAAAAGCTACAGAGAAACCCTGTCTCGAAAATCAAAAAAAAAAAAAAAAAAAAAAGAAGAGTGGAAGAATGAGGAAGTATATATGATCAGAATACATTGCATGCATGTATGCAAGTCTCAAAGAATAAAAATATTGTATTAATTTTAAAAAGCCTTGATTTTACTAAGTACAAATTATCCTGGACCTGTAGATACAGCTCAGTTGTAGAACAATTCAATTGCTGGGCATGTGCAAGGTCCTATTCAATTTCTAGTAACACACACACAATTAAAAACAATTGCCAAAGCAGTCACATTTGAAAATAATGAATAATGTTACTGGGGCTGGAGAGTTGGCTCAGTGGCTAAGAGCATTGCCTGCTCTTCCAAAGGTCCTGAGTTCAATTCCCAGCAACCACATGGTGGCTCACAACCATCTGGAATGAGGTCTGGTGCCCTCTTCTGGCCTGCAGACATACACACAGACAGAATATTGTATGCATAATAAATAAATAAATAAATATTTTTTTAAAAAAGAAAGAAAATAATGTTACTGTTGATTTGCTACCACTTTCTTCCAGGAAAATAGTATAACTCTCTATATTTACGCTGATACCTAAATAAAATCCCACTGAAGTTACATCCAAGTGCTGCAAGATATTTGATATTTGATTACACTGTGTAAAGATATGTCACTAAATGGTTTAATAAAAAGTTAAACAGCCAATGGCTAGGTATAGCTGGGACTTCTGGACAGAGAGAGCTCCGGGAAGAAGAAAGAAGTTGTTGCCAGCCTGATGTAGAGGAGAGGTAAAGACCTAAGTCACGTGGCAGCGTGCAGATGAATAGCAATGGGTTAATGTAAGCTATAAGAGCTAGTGGGACAAGTCTACGCTACACGCTTAGGATCTTTTATTTTATAATTAATAATAAGTCTCTATGTCTTTTTTTTGTGAGCTAGAAGCCCAAAGAAAAATCCACCTACAATCAAGTATATAGCTCTCTTAATTCACTACAAATGGATTTTTTAAAAGAATACAGTACAGTACAGTTTTATCTATAGACTCCTATTCTGTGGGAGACTAAAACTATGCATGCTAGTAGTCTATAAAGAGCTTTAAAATTCAAATTGAGCAACAGCATAACATGGAAACTTTTATTAAAAAATAGTGAAGGACTGGAGAGATGGCTCAGTGGCTAAGAGCATTAACTGCTCTTCCAGAAGACCAGGGTTCAATTCCCAGCACCCACAGGATAGCTCACAAGTATCTGTAAAACCAGTTCTAGGGGATTTGATGTCTTTTTATGGCCTCTGTGGACAGCAGGTTTGCAAGTGGTACACAGACATAAATGCAGACAAAACACTTGCATATTTAAAATAAAAAGAAATTTAAAAGTTTATAGGTTTACAGTGAAGTCTATATATACTCAACTTGTCTGAAACACTCCAATAAATGTTTTTTTGTTTTCATTTTTTGATTTTTCAGAAAGGGTTTCTCTGTGTAGCCCTGGCTGTCTTGCAACTCATTCTGTAAGACCAGGCTGGCCTTGAACACAAAGATTCACCTGCCTCTGCCTCCTCAGTGGAGTTAAAGGCATATGCTACCACCATCCAGCTCCAATAAATGTTTTTGAATGTTATTTATAGATTGATATTAAACCAAAAACATCAATAAAAAATTGTAGCTAAAAATCTGTAAGAGAATTTTAAGAAGACACTCAAAGTAACTTATGCCCTAAAAAATACTAATGAAATAAAATGGATACGTAGACACTGTTAGGTATCTGACAAGCGCCTGCTAGCCAGTACAGATCCCAAGCTAGTGTAGAGCACCCCTCTCTCCCTCCCAGCAGTTGACTCATCCCTAAGCCTGTGTGTGATGCATCCGAGGGCCGTGAGAAACAAAGGCACAAGAGTCTGTGGTAGAGAGAGCTGCCAAGCTCTTAGCTTTGTTGAAAGGGACTGAAATCTTCAGCTTTCAGCTGCTCAACTTCTCAATTACATGTTATTCTGAGCTCTCTCCACTCTCTGGGCATCGTACGGATAAGCAGGCTCTTTGGAAAAGCCAAAAGGGTGGAGGAAAAGCCAAACAAGCGCTGATGTTATTGAGCAGTAAAATCAGCCACACCAGAACGGCCCTTCCTCCAGAACTCACACTGTGTAACACAATAAATGCTCTAATTATGTGCGTCTTTCCAGATTTCTATTCTTTGTGAGCAGTAAAAAACAGCCTAAATTACATTACTACTTAAGTAACGCCTTTCCCCTCACTAGCCTGAATATAAAATAAACTGGTCATCTATAGAGGTTAGTCAAAAGGGTACTTATATAACATACACAATAGCCCTAAGTGCTGTGTTTAAGAATTACAATTTTAAACAACAGGAGGGACTGGGGATGCAGTGTAGTAGGGTGCTCGCTGGCATGTATTAGGTTCTGGGCTGAACCTTCAGCATCACAAAGCCAACCAATCACTCTCTCTCTCTCATACACACACACACACACACACACACACACACATACACACACGTGGGTGCACACTCGCACTCTCACACACAGTAACTAACAACGTGCACCCCAGAACCTGACAAATTGAGTTTATCTCAGCCACACCCTTCATCAGCCTCAGCAGGTGAAGTCCCTGGGCTTGCACTCCTTCTCTCAACCTGTGACAGCAACAGCTTTATTTTCATGTGTGAAGCTCCTCAGTGCCTGCACACAGGAAACTCACTAACTGCCAGCGGCTCTTCATGTGCAGGGTGTGCATCAAGGGCCATAGGCAGCGTGAGTGCACACAGGATGAAGCCTGAAGCTTTCAGGTTTCTGTCTAGATAAGTATGAAGAGTTAATTCTCTAGAAAACGCAGTGCTCAGGCTAAGGCTGTGGCTTGGCAATAAAGCACATGTACAGCAATGCAAAGTCCTGGGTTGACGCCAGCACCACACACATATACAAAATGAAACCGCTCAGTAAATAATATGACAAACTAGCTCGCTATTTTTCTCTTAAATTTTCTTTGAAAAATACCTTTTTAAAAAAAGCGTATCATTTATAATCCTGTTTGGCCTTCAAGAGAATTCCGACTTGTGAAAGTTAGATCACAACTTCAATCAACTAACAGTCCAGCGAAATCACGTGATTTCACATGTCTATTCCTAGATTTTTATTTCTCTGCTAAGTTCAAGAGTTGGGGATGGAGTCTCACCAGCACGCTGCTCACACAAGCTTAAATTATCTACCTAGAAAAGAAAAGCATGCAGCAACAGGAGCAGCAGCAGCAGGAGGCCTTACGTACCTATCTTCATTTTTGGCTTCCAAAGGAGGAGCAGGGCCCCTGGACTGGCCGAGGGGATCAAATGCAGAGCCTGAGACACAATTCAAGAGTTTAGGATTATGATCCAGCAAAGTTGAAGAGAATCTTGTACACAATAAATTATCATTTATTATATGGTATAAGCTCAACAGGCAAAATACTTTATCACACAAAAATATTTTATGGAAACAGTTAAGTTTTTGTTTTTGAGGCAGGATTTCTCTGTATAACAGTCCTAGCTATCCTAGAACTACCTTTTGGAGACCAGGCTGGCCTGGAACTCACAGAGAGCTGCTTGCCTCTGCCTCCTGAGTTCTGGGATTAAAGGTATGCACCACTGCCAGCCTGTTAAGATTTTTAATGCACATGAAATGATAAACAGAACTTACAGATTAACAAACAAAAAAAAATAGATTGCTCTCTCCGTATTTACTTTCTCCCTTCATAGGTCTGTATTTCTAGTGTGAATTCTAAATTATCAAGTATGTACGGTATAACCTGGGATTAACTTTCTAAGTTTTCTTACTGGTATGATAAACACCATTTTTTTTGTTGGTTTTATTTTTAATTATTTAACCTATATATTTAAAGGATATTTCCACCTTTCATTTTTAAGATCAAATTTAACTTATACAAACCATATATTAGGTGCATACTTCAATACATTTTGACAAATTATAGTGGTGTAACTACTACCCCAAGTGAGCTACAGGACAGTGTCACCAGTCCTTTCCTCTTGGTCATCTGTTTGAGCAGGCTTTGCACATGTAGCCCAGGCTAGAGACCATGTGGACACCGTTAGTGTCCAAGTGCTGGGGTTACAGGTAAGAACCACCACAGTCAGCTTACCCCTTTCTTTCTCAATGGTACCCAAAATTATGGTGCATCTTGTAATCAATGGCATGTTTGATCTTATTTAAAATGGAAGTGATATGCACATACATCGATGGGGACAGGTGTGAGGAAATGAACCAACCTCTCAAAGCTGACTTGGAAAAGCCAGCTGCTCTCACTGCCGTCATGGGTCGAGCAACTCCATCCTTCAAAGAACAAGAATCATTTAAAACTTATGAATAAGAACTATATTTATGGACAGCTCTGCACATAATGAACAGCCTACTTTAGTCCTGGTTTTTAATAAATGATTTATTTATAACATTTTTTTCTATAAATTGTTGTTTTGCTTGCATCTATGTCTGTGAGGGTTCTGGGTCCCCTGGAACTGAAGTTATAGACAGTTGTTAAAATGCCATGCGGGTGCTGGGAATTGAACCTAGATCCTCTGGAAGAGGAGCCAGTGCTCTTTACTGCTAATCTCTCCAGCCCCTTTCGCCCTGATTTTTAGGAACCTGCTCCTCAAGCCTCACTTCTACATCCCCGTGCAGCAACCCTGTTGCTTTGTTGCTCCCCTCTAAAATTTCAATGCCTTGACCCAGTGTAGGCCCATATTTCCATATGGTGTGGCAGCCAGGCGCTAAAGTCAAAGGCCCGATCTGAGGTGGTCACGTAGCCCTGCAGACAGGCTGTCTCTGCCTAACAAGGGGTCAGGATGTTGTTGCTCCTTTCTTTGTAATTTGGAGGATGCCTGATAGAGATGCTGATTCAAGCCTACATGACAGCTAGCATACACAGCAGACAGGTAGATGAGGACGTGACAAAACGCCATTCACCTGGTTACCTGGAGGACAGGTCTGGTGTATTTTCCTGCTCAGTTTATGTTTTGTTATAAAAGTTGTTTGGATAATAAACACAGGGAGATCTTGAGGAGAGAAGAAGCCTGAGATGCCCTTCTGTGATGACCATGTAAGCTGTGTCTGATTATTCCTTGCGGCTCCGTACCAGTCCAGTTAGGGAAAATAGTTATCTAATGTTGGGGTCCACGGGCTCTAACAACCCAGCTAGTCTCCTCTTGGCTATAAAAGAACTAACTAGCTTATCTGTCAGCTGCTCCTGTGCTTCTGGCTGATCTCCCATACGCTACAAGAGAGTCCACAGAAACTGTTGTACAGGGTAGCACAGGAGAACGAGTTCCAGATACTCCAGAATAGCAAAGCATCGGTCTATGTCACTCCACCAGGCTCTCACTTGAGACTACAGCATACCAATCCCAAGAAAGCGTGCTTCTGAAGATTCAAGGCAGCCCAAATGTTACCCCACAGTGTAAAGGTGATACTATATAATTAACATCCTTGTTAGAATTGTTAAAATACAAGAAGAGGAAAAACTTTGGGGATAAAGTCTAAGTCACAAAATAAACCACAAGGCAGACATACCTGAATAGTCCCTGTCATTGGTCTTCCCATTGATGATGCCAGGGATGTCTTAGACTAATAAACAAAAGAGCAAGTTAAACCAAGTCCTAAACAGCTGCCTGGAACTTTACAAATCAAACTGCAGGCATTTCTCGCTATCTACCCTAAACACAATTTTTTCCCATCTGTCATTAATAGTGTGGAATCAATCTGTAAAACTGATTGATCAGCAAACAACCACCCACCTTCTACCTTGTGAACAGGGTTTACTGGACTACAGCAAAGCCCCACCCACCGCCCACCTGCCTTGTGAACATGGTTTACTGGACTACAGCAAAGCCCCACCCATTTACACAATGCCTGTCGCTGCTTTTGTATTACAAATACCACTGCATGGACACTTGTGACAAAGACGATTTGATCTGCAAAACTGGAAATATCTGTCCCTTCACTGCCTCTTACTGTGAACCAAAACCAAATGTAACTCCATCCTCAGACTTCCTGTAGGAAGCTGCTTTCCTACCTCTGTAAGGCATGCTGTGAAGGCAAACGCTCTGGGCCTCTGGGCTGTGAAGCCATTTTGCTGACCTTAGAGTACGTGATCATAAATATTTTAAAAAGTTTCTCCACTTCAGTCTTGCATTTTTCTACCATTCTTTCTTATTTTGTGTAAGTCAGAACATACTTAGGTAAGTTAAACAAGATTAAAAGGATTACTATTCCTAGGGAGTTTAGGACTATTTTCTCCAAACAGTAGAGAAGATAAAACCCAAACATGCATCCCTGAAACGTTTTCTTAAATTTCATCTTATCATTGGTTAAGTTCTCATAAACACTGTTATGTTTATATAATACCTAGCTTCATGTAGAACTCATGAATGGAATGTGTACAAGAGTCAGTTATATTATGTAAGAAACAGAAATCAATAACAAACAAGGTCAACAAATAGAAAAGGGCAATAAAATACAATTGTGCAAAAATCAAACTTACCAAAATATTCAAAGCTATTACTCAAATTAGACTTTTTAATATGTGTAACTATATATCTGGGACATGACTTGACAAAGCCCAAACTATTTACAATTCTTGCATATGAACTTACATATATTTTAAGATGCATCTTAATATTTTCCATAAGAACCTACCCCATATCCAGTGGCTAAGGGTCTGCTGACTGCTGTGCTTGGTATTTTAGCAGTTACCTTGGGGAGGAAAAGGGGCATTGTCAGCAGTACTCAGATCAGACTATGTACTCGAAAATGCAGACTCAGTGCTAAAGAAATGTTTTATTTGGTGGCCCTCCCCCAGGGAAGAGCACACCAACCAGCTGTCTGATGCCAAATGATCATACATACAAATAACATTATATGGACTGAGCAGGTTATATTTAAGAATACACACACACACACACACACACACACACGCAATAACAATGAAAAAAGAGCCCATGAATTAAAAGGAGTGTGGGAAGGGGTATATGGAAGGGTTTGGAGGGAAGGAAGGGAGAAAATGTAATTACAACCTCAAAGAGAGAGAGAAAGAGAGAGAGAGAGAGAGAGAGAGAGAGAGAGAGAGAGAGAGAGAGAAATGTCATACTTAGAATGATTGCTTAAATACTAGGGAGTTTAGGTACTGAATGTGCTAGAAGGAGACTCGGTCTTCATTTTAAAGGAAAGAGACTTTGGGGTGACCTGAGATCCTAAGAAGTAAGTTCAGTTTCTATGCTTGCATCCACCACTCATTCAATGCATGCTACATACTACATGCTTGCATGTTGTGGTACTGCAGCCACAGACCCCAACAACAGATGCAGGCTCTGGAGTCTACGGGATTGGAATCCTTTTTCTCCCTCACTATATTTACTATCTTTGAGACCAAATGGAGACTGAATACAAATGATACAAATATCACATCATGCAATTGGAGCTAGGATCAAAAGGGAGCATGTCAAAGTGTCCTCAGCAAGTTAGTCACTGGACATAACTGATTATCATTCAAAAAGGAATTCTATTTCTTGCTATTCTGGACTGTTTTACCATGTCTTTCTACTAAGAACAACTAAAAAAGGCGGAGACAAAAATGTTTGTTTAAAGGCAATTCCCAGCAACCACATGGTGGCTCACAACAATCTGTAATGAGATCTGGTGCCCTCTTCTGGCCTGTAGGCATACATGCATGCAGAATACTGTATACATAATAAATATTTTTTTAAAAAAAGAACTTGAGCCTTTATCTTACACCACACACATAAAATTAATTCAAAATATATTAAAGAGCAAAACCTACAAATTTTCTGGGAAAAAATATAGAAGAAAGTTTACAGCCTTAGCCTCGGCGATGATTTCTAGGATATGACACCAAAGCATAAGCAATAAGGCAGACAAATGGCACTGCATCGAGCCAAAAGCCTTTCGGTGCCAGAGAATATAATCAACATGAAAATAGCCCACAGAATGGGGGGAAAACTTTACAAATCACGGATCTAAAAGAGATCAACAGAGACTATAGTGGTGATCCATTTACCAAGTAAAGTGGTGTGCCACACCCAACACGCTAATACTGCAGACTCCACCAAGGGTGTAGAAACAAAGACCTGAGTGGAGCTACTGAGTGCTGAGGAAGGAAAAGCTGGCAGGGGCGCTATTTAATGGGCAGGAGTCTTGTCTGAAAGGAGGCCATTCTGAAGCACTGTCTCATGACAGCATTAGCAAACTGAGCACTACAGGGTTGCACATGAGTACGTGTAAATGATTACAGTGGTGAATTTTATCACATGATTTCTATAGCTTTATTTTTAAGTTGCTTACTGGAGGTCTTCTGCCATGACTGGTTCTCACCGCTTGCTGAAAACCGGTGTCATTCTCCAACTCCTAAAATAAAAAGACAAATTCAAGTAAATGTGACAAAATTTAAACTCTTCTGATTTATATCCAAGACCCTTTATAATTCATCTTACCACAGAGGTGGTTTTCACTAAGATCTTGCAGCTAATGCTGGAGACTAAACTCAGGGCCTTGTGCATGCCAGGCAAGCACTCTATCAGCTGAGCTGCATTCCCAGCCTTATGGTCCTTGGGGGCCACGAGACAACCTTGTATGTCAACACATCCCAAATTAGAGAGTAGAGACTGGAACAGCAAAACAAACTGAGGCTGGAGAGATGGCTCACTGATAAGGAGCACTTGCTGCTCTTGTGAAGGACCTGCATTTGGTTCCCAGCACCATGGCTCAGTTCTAGAGGCACTGATGTCCTCTTCTGACCTTTGCAGGAACCAGGCATACACACGGTGCACATAAATACATGCAGGCAACACTCATACACATAAACCAATCAAAGCTTAGGTATCTCTGAGTTATTCGAGTCTTTCACTTCTGCGATAGTTAGCGCTGAAGAGTCCAAAGGCACAGCTACCCTGGTTCAGTTACAGGAGCTTTCTTTCTCATGATCGTCCCTTCTGCTGAAGCCACTGTCATGGTAGGAATTATGAGGTTCTTCATGAAATACTTTCCTACTTTTAGTACTTTACTTAATCTGAAGCACATAAAAAGTAACAATCAATTACACCCCAAATCCTCATGAACCAGCTGAATTGGCTAACAAAAGACCAATATAAAAAATGTTTTTACCTCAGTATCATAGGCTGGATTGTAGTCATTAAAACCAGAATAAAGATCGTCCTCATCTGTTTCTGGCGCCAGGTGCACATTTTCCATCATCTGTGCCTATTGAAAAATCAGCAGTATAAAAGCGTGCCTGGTATAAGAATTCACTTTCCAGATGCTACGAACTGAGCCCAGAGCCTCACAAGCCACACCCAGACTAAGAAACAATTCTTAGCTCAGTTAAATTCATTTATATTTTCAGCATGTTTTTTTCCAAATTCCCCAAACTATCAAAACACACATCTACTACCCTCATTTCATATTTGTTCCACATCTTCTATGTAAGTAACAGGCAACAAGAGAGGTTAAAATCAAGTACAGAGGCTGAGTGGTGGTGGTGCATGCCTTTAATCCCAGCACTCAGGAGGCAGAGGCAGGCGGATCTCTGAGTATGAGGCCAACCTGGTCTACGAGAGCTAGTTCCAGGACAGGCTCCAAAGCTACAGAGAAACCCTGTCTCGAAAAAACAGACAAACAAACAAACAACAACAACAAAAAGAAATCAAGCACAGAAAAAAAAATGCAATAATCAATTAAAATGTAAGGCAAAAATTATTATATCCCTAGCATTAGTGCTAACTATAAAGACCAACAACACACAGGTCAGCAAGGATGGAGGCAACCAGAATACCTGTCCATCATGAGTGGGAGCATAAGATATTATGACTGCAAAATGTCTGCAGCTTCATACTATTAACCTTCTATGGCCTAGAAAGTCCACTCTAGAATAATTTTGTGGTGGAAATGAAAACATGTGTGCCAAAATATTAATGTAAGAATGTTTACAGCAATTTTGTTTATTTATTTATTTATTGGTTTCTCTAGACAGGGTTTCTCTGTAGCTTTGGAGCCTGTCCTGGAACTAGCAAGGCATGCGCCACTACCACCCGGCTTCAGTTCTTCTTTGAAATTTTATATCAAAATAAAAAAAAATCTAAACAAATGTCCAAACTTAAGGCACATGTGGTATATTTAAGGGAAAGTTTAATGTCTGTAATTTATTTTGAAAAGCACAAAAAGGGGCTAGAGAGATGGCTCAGCGGTTAAGAGCATTGCCTGCTCTTCCAAAGGTCCTGAGTTCAATTCCCAGCAACCACATGGTGGCTCACAACCATCTGTAATGAGGTCTGGTGCCCTCTTCTGACCTGCAGGCATACACACAGACAGAATATTGTATACATAATAAATTTTAAATAAAAGCACAAAAAGGTGTGTGTGTATACACACACACACACACACACACACACACATATATATATATATATATATATATATATATACACACACACACACACACACACACACACATACTTGGTGGCTTTTTTTGTTTTGTTTTTGTTTTTGATATGCCTACCTTTGATGACCTGGCCAGTTTCACAAGTGTTTTTTGTTTTGTTGCATTGCTTGTTTGGTGGGGGTTGGTTGTTTTCTGTTTGTTTTATTCTTTTTTGAGATGTAACCCTGGCTGGCCTAGAACTAATTATATACACCAGGCTGGCCTCAAACTCTTCAAAATCTGCCTGGTTCGGCCTCCCAAGTGCTTGAACTAAAGACATGTGCCACCATGCCCTATAGAACACTCAGCTTTGAATCTCTTGGTGTGCGTAGCTGTGGGGCATTTCTGGGTCAATGCAATACTGAACCATGATCACTGTTTTCTTCAGCTCTCTTAAAAGATCAAGACTCGGGAGCCGGAGAGATGGCTCAGTGGTTAAGAGCATTGACTGCTCTTCCAGAGGTCCTGAGTTCAATTCCCAGCAACCATATGGTGGCTCACAACCATCAGTAATAAGATCTGGGGCCAACTTCTAGACAGGGACACATGCAGGCAGACCACTGTATACATAATAAATAAATAAATCTTAAAAAAAAAAAAAGATCAAGACTCTCCCGTTAAACTACCATGAAGAGAATGGTGGCACTCTAAGGAAGTAGATGTTGAAGACTCAGAATTTCAAGGTCAGCCTTAGCTACATAGCAAGTTAGAGACCAGCTTAGATCTCAATAAATAAAGTATATCATTGGGTTTCAGTATACCCAAAAGGTGTACAACCATCACTGCTATCCAATTCCAGAACATTTTCTTCACCCTATAAAAACAGAAACCTGAGGCTCTTTAGCAATTACGCCCCATCCCTCCTTTTCCCAGGCCCTGAAAGCCACTCCAACAACGTCCTGCCTTTATAGATGAGCCATTCCAGACATTTCATGTGCAGGAAACCATGCAGCATGTAGCAGTTAAGTCTAGCTTCCTTCATTTAGCATGTCTTCAGGGTTCATGATATAGTTTCATTATACTGCATTCTTTTGCATGGCTCAATAACAAATTTACAACATTTGGTTTCTCTGTTCATTAGTTAATGAACATTAGGTTGGCTCTACTTGAGAGCTTTTATGAATAACCCTGTTATGAATGTTTATATACAAGTTTTTACATGAATACACTTTCTTTTTTAAATTTAGGTGTCTGTGTTGGGAGTTTGCTAATATGGATGCTGGAAACTGAACTCAGGTCCTCTGAAAAAGCGGCAAATGCTTACACTACTGAGCCATCTCTCTAGCCTTAGTTGAGTATATGCTCAATTCTCCTGGGTATACACCAAGGTATGGAATTGCTGGGTCATAAAGGAACTCTGTCAGCTTCTGGAACAACTGCCCATTTTCTGAGCAGAGTGATAAATACTGTACCATCCTAATCAATGCCACTGTTTTACCCATATACACACTGTATAGGCCACCTGCCCATTAGCCACACAGCAGCTATCACAGTTGTCAGATTAACTGTTTATGTATCACAGCTCTTGTTTTTTCCTTATCTTTGGTCCCAAAGCACAATAACAGAGCTGTTGGCAATTCAAACATGCCAAAGAGAAGCCAGGAAGTATTGTCTTTAAGCACCAACTCACTTTATTAAAGAAGAGTGAATACAGAACAAAAAAAATTTAGAGAAACAGAACATACATTACTTTCATTACAGTATACTACAATAATTTTATATTTTACTATTGCTGTTAATCTCTTACAGTGCCTAATTTATAATTAAATTTTATCATAGGTATATATGTATATAAAGAAACAAAAACAGAAATGCCAGGCATGGTGATGCACACCTTTGATCATTCAAAAGGCAAAAGGCAGGCGGATCTCTGTAAATTCAAGGCCAGCCTGGTCTACAAAGCAAGTTCCAGGACAGCCAGCTGTTACACAGAAAAATCTTGTCCTGAAAAACTAAGAAACAAAACAAAACAAAAAGTGTATGAAGGGTTCAGTGTGGTATGAGGGGTCTTTGACTACATCCTCTATTCACATGAGGGAAAGACTATGCTAACCAGGGCCTCTCAAACCTGAGCATGCTCCAGAAGTTTAAAGGTTTCTTCATTTCAGACAGCCACTCTCCAGCCCTCTATGCTTTTGATTCAGGAAATCTTAAGGAGATCCTTTGATGTCTCAGAACATAAATTTATTGGGATTTCTTTGGAATGGGGGTGTTTTTGTTTCTGAGACAGGGTCTTCTATGGCCTAGGCTGGTCTTGAACTCATTACATAGCCAAGGCTAGCCCTGAACTCCTGCTTCTACCTCCCAAGAGCTGGGGTGAGAGATATGAGTTATTCTGCCCAGTCAGAACATGAATTCCTTTTTGCACATATGGTTGTTCCTGCATGTGAGCACACACATGTGCATATGTTGTATGTGTTGTGGGTATGGTTATTCTTGCATGCATGTGTAGACATGTGGGTATGTGTGTCTGTAGAGGTGAGAGGTCATCCTGGGGTGTCATCATCTGCAGGCACTGCCTACCTTGGTTTCTGAGACAAGCTCTCTCACTGGGCCCTGGATAAGATTCAGCCAAGCTGGCTGAGCAGTGAGCAGCACAAGTCCTCCGGTCTTCACTTTTCTGAAGCTGAGATTACAAGCATGTACCAGCGACTACACTACATGTTTAAAGTGGGATGCTGGGATCAACTCAGGTTCTCATGTTTTGCAGCAAGAACTTTATGCACTGAGCCATCTCCCCAGTCCTAGATTCCAAACAGGATCCAAGTGATGCTGATGCTGCTGGTCCAGGGACCACACAGTTTTTTGGTTTTTATTTGTTTGTTTTGTTTTGGATTTTCGAGACAGGGTTTCTCTGTAGCTTTGGGACCTGTCCTGGAACTAGCTCTTGTAGACCAGGCTGCCCTCGAACTCACAGAGATCCGCCTGCCTCTGCTTCCAGAGAGCTGGAATTAAAGGTGAGCGCCGCTACCGCCCAGCTGGGACCACACTTTCAGAATCACATGCTGAAGAATTTCCTGCTTACAAACCTTTCTGATGTCCATTTAGTTTATTGATAAGGCATTGAAACAATCAGCTTTTAAAACTAGACCTCCTTTCTTCTGGGTTACAACCAGATTTAAACACACAGGCACACACACACCTGGGAGACATCATAGACAGCTGAACAGATCAATACTGGAATACACCAGTTTTAAAGATGTGGAAAGCAAGGTTAGGAAAGATTAAGTGGATTAATTATTCTTTACAAACAACCATTAGTGGCTAACAAATAGTACAACTCAGGGTTTCTAGATTTTCCAAAGTGTTTTGAAAATAATTTGGGACACTGTCATCTGCCAATGAAATGCCAATGAAACCATTTTGCATGGGAAAGTTCTATATATTTCTACCGCGATAGACAGTCCACACTCAAAATGTCAATTGTAGTTTCTTCAAAACTCATAATCAGAGTAGAGAATAAAAAGTCTATAAAGAGCAAAAACTGTGCCAGGCCGTGGTGGTGCACGCCTTTAATCCCAGCACTCAGGATGCAGAGGCAGGCTGATCTGTGAGTTCGAGGCCAGCCTGGTCTACAGAGGTAGTTCCAAGACAGCCAGGGCTGTTACACCGTAAAACCCTGTCTCGAACTACCACCCCACCTTTAAAAAAAAAAAAAAAAAAAAAAGCAGTGGAATTTTAGGCGTAGAAAGAATCCTGGGAAAAAGTAGGTAGATCCAGCCATCTTTATCTGTGCATCTTTGGATTCAACCAGCTGCAAACTGAAGATACTTGGGAGAAAAATTATCTTTACTAAACATAGACCTTTTTTTGTTTGTTTTTCCTTTTCACTATTCCCTGAACAATTCAGCATAAAGATTATTTATGTAGCAATGAATATCTAAGATGACAGAGTTGGAAAACGGCTTAGAAACAATGCAAATATCATACCATCTTATACATGTGACTGAGCACCTGAGAAGTTTGGTATCCCGGGAAAGTGGGTGTCTAGAACCAACCCCTAGAGGATATGCTTTTATCTTTGTGAGACTGTGCTTAATGCTTTCTTTTCTGTACTTCTGTATTCGATCCTGACTACTAGGAAATTTCAAAGGTTGACCTGAGGCAAGTATTAGAAATATTCGCTGTTACCCACTGTGAAACTCTGAAAGTTTCACTGGTGCCACGGCATCGCCAAGTCGTGTCACTTTGGCCCGGGTCGCCACGCCTGCAGGAGCAGGGATATCCACCCGCTGACAGAAGCACTAACAAAGTACAAAGTGTGGGGCTACAGAAGCGCGTTCGCCAGAGCGTGGCTGGGGCGCCACCAGCCCGCCTGTCCTCGCGACCCTGCGGGCCGCTCACGCACCGGGCAGGGAGCAGGGCAGCAGGACGGGCGGCCACGAGGATCCGGGCCCTTCTCCTACCTCGCGCCGAGGGGAGCGGGCTGACCGCGAGTGGGCCGGGAGAAGACGCGACGCCTGAGCCTCCGCAGGCCAGAGCTGGACGCCCAGCCGTTGCCAGGCGCGAATCCAAGGAAGCCGCTCCCACAGTCCTCTGCGCCGCCTGGGCGAGGCCGGAAGCTCAGGACCGGAAGTGCAGGGCTGCCGGAGTCGGACGAGCTACTGAAGTGCTTCTCGGTCTTTGTCGCTGGCCGGGAGTTGCCAAGTGCTCTGGGGTAAACACAGAAGGAAACAAAGGTCGTGTGACCCTCGAAGCAATCCCATCTCGAGAGCGGGCGACCAGAGCGTGATGGCCGGGTGAATGGAATGTGTCCCGGAGCCACCCACCACCCACGACTTGGGAACCTTGGCTGTTTTCTGTGGAACGTTGCGTCTATAGAGATTATATTCAAAACACGATAAATTGTCAGATGTATCGGGGTTCTTTCTAAATAAGTTTAGTCTGGAGAATTAATAAAAGCAATGTCATGCTAGGTGTGATGACGCACATCTGTAATCTCATCACTTGGGAGGTGGAGACTGGACGATGGGAATACAAGGCCAGCAAGGCGACGCAAGACCTTGTCTTAACAGCAAAATAATGTTTCCCTCCGGAACAAAAGCCGGGCATGTTGACTTGAAGTCCGTTATAAAAGACAGAGGTTTCCTAACCTTGAATTGCTCGGTTGTGTCAGGAAGTCATTGCGTAGGTAGCATCCACCTTACCCATCACGGTACAGATGGAGATGGGATAGGAGACAAACTGTTAGGTTGATCAGGCTCAGGTTACTTGGTATGCCTCGGAGATTAAAGCCTGTCGTTCTGATCCAAGTGTTTTGTACCAGCATTCAGAAGGCAACAGTGTTAAGCTAATGTGTTAGCTTGCAAGTAGGATAAATCCTACAGTTACTGACAGTAGCTGGCTACTGCATCACTTCAAGCAAATAGTCAATAATTATATGTTAAATTATATATCACTAAATTATAGTGAATATCATAGAGCTCTTATTTAAAGTTCTGCACTTCGATACAGAAAGATAAAAAAAATTAGAGTCACTGAATCTTCTTGTTTGTTTTTTGTTTTTCAAGACAGTGTTTCTCTCTGTATTCTCGACTGTGCTCTGTAGACCAGGCTGGCCTCAAACTCACAGAACTTTGCTTGCCTCTGCCTGTGCCCTCCACCCCCAGCACTGTATCTTTTTTAATGACTGCACATCAGTCCCCGTCTGAGAAGAAAACATTATTATATTTTGTTAAAATAGAAGTTCCTCAGGCAACAGATATTTTCGACTTGTTCACTCAATAATTATTGAATGAATTGCCAGGTTTGTAGTTATTCACATATGAAGTGGGGTGAGTGGGAGGCAAACAAGCGTGAGTCCCGTGACAGGAGTCAGAGTAAGAGTGAGTTCCATGCATGAATACGGAGAACACTAGAGGAAAAGCAGGTTTGAGGGGGGAAATGAGTTTAGTTTGGAACACATGGAGAGTCGGGTGCCTGTAGAATGTGCAAGAAGAGATTCTAAGTAAGCAGTTCTATATAAAGACAAAAAGCTCGGAGAAGAGGGCTGGGGATGTAACAGTGTTAGAACACTTCCTTCGCACATACAAAGCCCTGATTTGGATTCCCAGCGTCGCAGTAAACAAAGCTCAGAAAAGAGACCCCATCTAGAGATACATACTTGGGAGTCATTAATTCGTTTGAAAGATGGTTTGGAAGCCTGTGAGTGAGGCAGATGTATTTTAGGGTAAGGGGAGGTAGAAAGGCAAAAGAGGAAGGAAAAGAAAAGGTAATCAGGCTGGGTAAGTATGATCAGAACAGACTATGTGACTATGTGTGGAAATGTTCTAATGAACCCATTATATGTAAGCATATAGCAGTTTAAAACACTTCTTTAAAAATCCTAGAACTGAGCCTTAGTATTTAGATCTTACAGAAGAAAAGTCCTTAATGACTCTTCAATGGTTAGACATATGAAGGCAAAAATCAGAGAAAACACTGGAAGACAAGGAAGCCAGTGTGCTGAACACGAAGAAATTGAACACACAGAAGGGATGTGGTTGAGGGATTAAGTTTAAGCAAAAGATGTTTTACTGTGTTTAGTAACTTGAAGATCGCCTTTGATTTATCAGGAACTCTCAATGGATAGTAGAATAGAAGCCTGATTCTACAGGGCTAGCTAGTTATTGGGGATTGGATTGATCTGTCTCATGCTACTACAATGAAACACCTGAGGTAATTAACTTTGGAGACATTTATTTTGCACATGTAATTTGGAGGATGAACGTACGAGTGACATGAGTCAGGCTCCGAGAAGAGCCTCATGGCACATTGGAGCAGCGTGAGTATGAGCAACTGATCACAATACCAGGCAGAAAGCCACCACTGGGTGTGGCCTGGCTGCACCCTGTTTTCTTTTGTTCTTGTTGATTTTGTTTGTTTTGGGTGGGTGTCTTACTTAGGGTTACTATTGCTATGATGACACACTATGACTAAAAGCAATCTGGGGAGGCAAGGATTTATTTGGTTTACATTTTCATAGCATTAATTATCAAAGAAAGTCAATTCAAGAACTCAGACAGGTTGGGGAGTTGGAAGCAGGAGCTGATACAGAGGCCATGGAGGGGTGCTGCTTACTGACTTGTTCCTCATGGCTTGCTCAGTCTACTGTCCTATAGAATGCAGGACTACCAGCCCAGGGATGGAACCACCCATATGGGGTGGGTCCTCCCCCATTAATCACCAAATAAGAAAATTACCTACAGCTGGATCTTGTGGAGGCATTGTCTCAATTGAGGCTCTCTCCTTTCTGATGACTCTAGCCTGTGTGGAGTTGACGTAAAACTAAGCAGGACAGTGGGGTTTTGTCTTTGAGACAGTCTCAGGTATTCCAGGCTGGCCTCAGACTTCCTAAGTAGCAAGGATGACCTTGAATTCCCAATCCTCCCTCTCCCCCCCCCCCCCAGTGCTGGAATGACAGATCTATATCAACACATTTAGTTTTATGCCAAGCTGGGGATTGAATCTAGGACCTCATCTATATTAGTCAAGCATTCTACTGAGCCACATCCCCTACTGTTGTTTTGTTTTTTGATACAGAGTCTTGTTTTTTGTTTTTTGAGACAGAGTTTCTGGGTAGCTTTGGAGCCTGTCCTGGAACTAGCTCTTGTAGACCAGGCTGGCCTCGAACTCACAGAGATCCAACTGCCTCTGCCTCCCGAGTGCTGGGATTAAAGGCGTGCACCACCACCACTTGGCATTACAGGGTCTTGTTATGTGTGACCCAGGCTGTTCTCAAACTCAAAATCATCTTTCCCGGGGGCTGGAGAGATGGCTCAGAGGTTAAGAGCATTGCCTGCTCTTCCAAAGGTCCTGAGTTCAATTCCCAGCAACCACATGGTGGCTCACAACCACCTGTAATGGGGTCTGGTGCCCTCTTCTGGCCTGCAGGCATACACACAGACAGAATATTGTATACATAATAAATAAATAAAATAAACATTTAAAAAAAATCATCTTTCCCAACCTTCTACATGCTGGTGTTACAGGTGTGTGCCACTACACTAGCTAGGTTTAGGATTTTATGTCATTCTTTGTATTAGAACTAAATTAGGGTCCTAAGGAAAATTTCTTATTTTTTTTTAAGAGCACACAGATCTCCCAGTGGCCTCACTTCTTAGAGATTCCACACTGCATCTCAGTACCACCGCCCTTGGGACAAAGCTTCTAATACTTGGACATTGGAGGGAAAACTGCCTCCAGGCCACAGCAGTGATGAAGAGACTCACAAAGCCTGGCTATGAATAGGAAGAAACAAGGCAGTGGGGAATGGTGAGGGCCTGAGGATAATTTGGGTATCTTTTTCAAGACAGAAGAGATTAGAGCATCTTAATGCTGTTGGAGATAAAACAGTAGAAAGAAGCTGAGGAGGAAGGAGAGATAGCTGAGGATAAGGGGGCTAAAGAATGGCAGAGAACGACTAGAAGAATACGTGAGGAAAGAAGCACGTGAACTGTTTTACTCAGGGGACTAGATTGACATTAGTGCTAATGAGCTTGTCGCTTTGTTTTTCTATCCCATGGTCTGGTGTTCTCACGGCCCCATCTTCTTCACTGAGCCTCCAGTAGACATGGACAAGTAAGAGGCAGATGGCAGGATTTGCCCCGGGGTTGAACTTCTGCAGACAGTTGCAAGGAAAGGACAGAAGGGGATATGTTTTGGTGATAGACATGAAGTTTAGTATAAATACTGAAGGAACTGAAGCTGATAGAGCTATTGAATGGTGGGCGGGGTGGGGGGAATGGAGGAATCATCTTAGCAGTGCAGATAAGGGGTAAAGTGCTTCTCTCGCAAGCCTGACAACCCGAGTTCCTTCCCAAGTACCCAGGCTGGAAGTAGAGAACCAACTTCCAATAGTTGTCCTCTGATCACATATGTGCTGTGGTACAAGCATGTCTGCACTCACACATTACACAGTAATTGTAAAGTAGAAATTCTTCTAAAAGTATGGACGAGGTTAGTACAGTTGCAATAGGATATTAACAGATTGGACGTTGGACTTTTTGAATTAGGGATGATGGAAGTGGGAGAGAAGGACTAACAGTTGATGGGTATAGTTTGGTGGAAGCCATTTATAATGTGGAGTCCAAGGTTTGAAGTCACTAGAGTGGAAAAGTCCACTGCAACCAGATAGCAATGACTGAGGACAAACAAGGAAGAAGTCGGAATGGGCTTGAAACAGCATTATGATGATCTGAGATGCATAGTGCAGAGGGTTTGCAAGAAGGAGGCAAAATCATGGAGACATCGATGACTCCTGTCTCCTAATTTGGTGCTCTCTGGGAATAAGTTACTGTGATGGTTCAGGGAAGGTCCTTGCAAAACAGTTGTTTTTAACTAAGTCTCTATCATTCTATTTTAGCAATAAAGACTCTGGAACCAGATGCTGGGGTAAAAACCTGCTAGCTCAGAGAAGCAGAGAACGCTCCCAGCTGCTTCCTACTCTGCTGTCATCCCAGAAAGAGAGCTTTCTCCAATGCAGTCTCAAACAAAAACTCTTCCAACTCAGTGTCCCTCCTTTCTACTTCCTGCTGTGTGTACTTCTTTCCATTC